TCCCAGGGCTCCCAGCAGGGGACACTTCCCACAAGGCGCAGGTGCTGGGATGCTTGGTGTCAGCCTCTCATTGGGGTCACATCTGATGGGGACGGGAGGCGGTGACAGGACCCTGCCCAGCATCTGTGGGAGTTGGGTGGGAGCTGCCTGAATGCCAGCGAAGCACAGCATGGATGCGTCCCACTGCTGCCCAGTGGAGCAGGAAGAACCTCTGAGAGTCCATCAGTCCCACAACACAAGGGGCCAAATGCCTCTGAGCATGGGAGGAAGGCAGCTGGGAATTGGCCCAGGGGCCACTTGCAGCAGGAATGGGTTCCTGAGACCTGAAAACCTGCAAAAGGACGGCATGGAGGGGGAGGGGGGACAACAGGGATGTCCCAAATGGTCTCCGGCAGCAACAGCTTTGCCAAGGGAAGGGAAGGGAAGGGAAGGGAAGGGAAGGGAAGGGAAGGGAAGGGAAGGGAAGGGAAGGGAAGGGAAGGGAAGGGAAGGGAAGGGAAGGGAAGGGAAGGGAAGGGAAGGGAAGGGAAGGGAAGGGAAGGGAAGGGAAGGGAAGGGAAGGGAAGGGAAGGGAATGCCCAGGGGATGAGGTGGCTGCAGATCCCATGGTGACCTCGAGTCTGGGGGTCTCAGACCCTCAGCTGTGGTTTGGGGGCAGCAATGGGAAATCCCCAAAATGGGATTTACTGACGTTTCTCTGTGTGTCCAAACGGGGGGCTGAAGGGAGGGGTGGGAGATGGAACTTTTCACGGGTTCAGAAAGAGCTCAGAACACCACGAGGTGCCACCCGTATTCCCAGCTCTACCACAGCTGGGCCTGGAAAAAAGAGCCTGAGAACCCACTGTGGTGTCCCCCACAACCCCCAAAATCCTGTGGGCTGAGCTCAGGTGCTCTGAGGGGCCAAATGGGGATGGAAGGGGCAATTCCCACCTGCTCTGGATGACTGGGGCTAATAGGAGCTAATTGGCTTTTAAGGGAGACCAAGATCGAAGGCAGAGAGATGGGGGTGTCCTGAGAGAAAAGGGGCACCAATTCAGGTGGGGACCCCGAGGGACCCCATGACACCACATCCCACCTCCTCTTCCTTTCAGCCCCATACCTCAACCCAACCCCCCCCCCCGCCCCCCCCGTGTCTCGGCCCCCCATCGGCCCCACATCTCTCCCCCCCAAACCCCTCCCAGCCCCACACCGAGCTCCGTGGGGCTGCACTGCCCTCTGCCGTCGTCGCTCCGCAGCGCTTCCCGCAGCCCCACGCGCGTCCCTTCCCACGGCTCTGCCTGTGCCCGACCCGAAGGGATTCGGAGGAAAAAAACAAAGCCGAGCATCCCGCGGTGCGGCGTTTGCCCTGCAAAGGGAAACAAACGGAACCATTTAGCCAAAGCCACCGCAGGAACACGCTGCGATGAGGCTGGGATTGTGCCGGGACAGGGAGGAATGGCTGCACCGAAGGGCTTTGAACGATTTTATTCTTCCTGGTTTAACGGAGTGGATTATTATTATTATTATCATCATTTTCTTTTTTCCTAAGGTCTCCCCCCACCGTTCCTGCTCTAATCAGGTCAAAAGCTGATTTGGAAATAATCACCAGAGAGTGTGTGGGGGGGGGTAGAGGGGGGGGGATCCAACCAAGAGAATTAAGTCCAAGCTGTGCATTTCATATTATTAATTGAAAGCCTGGCACAGATAACGCATCCCTTCTCCAGGCTGAGCCCCATAAGCTGCTCCAGCAGCAGCCTCTGCCCCTCTGTGGGGTGTGCAGGATTAGGGCTGAGCACGGGAGGGCAGAAAGCAGGGAGCATCTGGGGGTTGGAGGGAGGGGGGGGGTGCAAACAGAGCAGCACAGGAACCCATCTGATAGCACGGGTTGATTGCGGGGTGTTACTGGGGCTCGTTTGCTCATCCCTGCTCTGACCACATCAAGACACAGCTGGGAATGAGTGGAATATATCAAAGTTTACTTCTGCATCGCCCCGCAGAGCAAAGCGCGCGCAACAGACCTGCTGTGTCACAGGAAGGTACATTCATGAGTCAGTGAGACCCTCCCCCACCCCCCATCCCCCAAAACAGGGGGTTTTTTGTTCTTTAAATTAAAAAAAAAAAAAAAAAAAAAGCAACACAAAAGCCGAGCTGTGATCTTCCAGCAGGATTCACGCAGCCTCTGAGGAAAGCTGTAGCAGGCAGAAGCGCGGTGCGGTGAAGCAGGAGGCCGGGCTGCAGCTGGCAGAGATCCCAGCAGGATGGGGACGGTGCTGCTGTGCCCCAGCCCTCCGTCCCAAGGCTGGTGGGGTGCAGGGGGGATCAGTGGTCCTGTAGAAGCTTTCTGCTCAGCCCTGAGCTCAACTCTGAGCCTCCTCGGAGCCTGCAAGGACGGCCTCTGCCGCAGGGTGACATTGGGGTGCCTGAAGGATGCTCGCTCAATGTGTCCCCACGCCTCCAGTCCTGAGCGTTATCTGCCTGATGGCAACCAGAGTCCCAGCCGTCCTGCTGAGCCCTGCAGGATCCACGCAGGGTCGGCACTGCAGTAAGGACCTCTTTGCTCCCTGCCCTCCCAGGATGCACAGTCCGAAGCCCAACCTGAGGCTGGTGGATGTGGGGTGGCCCCCAGCCCCCTCAGTTCTGCATGGGGCTGCACTCAGGCTCAATGTCAGCACTCATGTCCCGATGTGAGGCTTACGTGGGGAATGGGCACAGCCCCATTGTGGCTGCTGCTTCCAGGGGGTGCCGACAGCAGGTTCCCCTTTGTTGCCTCCAGACCTTGTGATCTTCCAGGGAAACCTTCGGCCCTGCAGGATCCCCCAACCCCACAGAGGTTCCCAGACCTGCTGGGTTCCCCCCCCACCATGCACTCAAGGGCCAAAATCCTGCTGTGTCCTTCAAGCATTCCAAACCCCACAGAGTCCCCCAGGGACCCCTTCACCCTCATTCTTCAGGGCACCCCAAGGTTCCAGACCCTGCTAAGTACTCTGGAGCTCCCCAACCCCACTGAGCCCCTAAAGGAACTCCAAGCATCCCAGCCCCCTCCCCATTAAACCACCCCTAAGGACTCCAGACCCCGCTGGATTTCCTCCTCCCTCCATGGGCTCCCTCTGACCCCGCAGGGCCCCCCCACCAGAGCAAGCTTTGTCAGACCCCAAAACCCACAGAATCTCCCTAACAGCCCCCCAGCTCACAGCACCCCAGCCCATCAGGCACCCTCACAGTCCCCAGACCCCGCTGGGTCCCCCTGTGTCCTGCAGGACCCCCAATCCCACAGCGTTCCCATGACAGCTCTCACACCCACACGCCCCGACCCTTCACACCCCCTCAGCTCCCTCCGGCTCCCCAAACCCACAGCGTTCTCACGAAGCCCGCAGCACCCCACAGCTCCCCCCACCCCCCCCCTTTTCTAAGCGGGGCTGCGCGGTGCAGCGGGCAGCCTCCTGCTGGGGGTGTGCACGGAGGAACGCCGCGCTCTCCCCGTCGCCCAGGGCACGCAGCTTCGGAGCGCTCGGGCCGCGGCAAGCAAAGCACCGGGTCGGGGGCGAGGGCGGCGGCGGAGCCCCTTCTGCAAACGCTGCCCCTGCGCTGCCAGCGCCAGCTGCGCCTGTGCCACGCCGCTCCCCAGCCGGCTCAGCGCCTCGGCTCGGGCGGCCAGGCGCAGCTCGGCGTGCCGCAGCGCGCAGTGCACCTGAACCACGCGGCCCTCCAGCTCCGCCGCGGCTCTCCGCCGGCACTCCGCAGCCACCAGGCGCCGCCGCGCCGCCGCCAGCTCCAGCGAGCCGCCGCTTCCTCCTCCTCCTCCTCCTCCCGATGCCGTTCCTCGTCCCGATGCCGTCGCTGCCGCTCCTTCGCCAGCCGCCGTGCCGGTGCTGCTGCCGGAGCGCTCCGGGCGCTGCTCGTCCGTCGGAGCCGGGGATGCGGCGTCCGATGTCGCCATGGGGAGGAGACGGGCGGAGGGAGAGCGGCGGTGCGGGTATAGCGGGGGGGCGGGGTGATGCTGCATGGAGCGGCACCGGGGGGCGGCACCGACAGCGGGGATGGGAGGGGTGCTGGGGAGTAATGGGAGGGACTGGGTGGGATGCTGGGGGTACTGGGGGGGGTTGGATGGGATACTGGGGGTACTCGGAGATGTGGATGGAATACTGGAAGATACTGGGAGGGTTGGATGGGATACTGGGGAGTAATGGGAGGGATGGATGGGATACTGGGTGTACTGGGAGGGGTTGGATGGGATACTGGGGAGTAATGGGAGGAGTTGGATGGATATTGGGGGTACTGGGGAAGGGGTACTGGGGGGACTTGGAGATGTTGGTGGGATACTGGAAGGTATTGGGAGGGGTTGCATGGGATACTGGGGGTACTGAGAGGGGATACTGGGATACGAGGGGTTCTGGGAGAGGTTGATGGGATACTGGAAGGTACTGGGAGCAGTTGGATGGGATGCTGTAAGGGGATGACTGGAATACTGAGGGGTAGTAGGATGGGATACTGGGATGGGCTGAATGGGATGCTAGGAAGGGATGAGTGGGAATAGTGGGAGAGTATGGATGGGATACTGGGGAGGTACTGGGGGTACTGGGAAGGGATGAATGGGATACTGGGGATACTGGGAGAAGTTGGGTGGGACACTGGGAGGGGATGTATGAGATACTGGGGAGTAGTGGGAGGGACTGGCTGGAATACTGGGCGATTAGTAGGAGGGGAAGAACGGGATACTGGGGGTACTGGGAGGGAATGGGTGGCATCCTGGGGAGAAGTGGGAGGAGTTGGATTGGATACTGGAAGCTATGGGAGGGGCTGAATGGATGCTGGGAGTACTGGGAGGAGAAGAATGGGCTGGGTGGGAGACTGGGGATTATTAGGAAGGGCTGGGATACCAAGGTGATGCTAGGAAGAGTCAGTTGGGATACTGGAGAGATTCTGGGAAGGTGCTGGCCGTGGCACTGGGGATTAGTGGGAAGGGTCAGGTGGAATACTGAGGGGATGCTGGGGAAGGGTGGGTTGGGATGGGATGTGGAAGGATTACTGGGAAGGGTTGGTTAGGACATGGGTTACTGGGAAGGGCCAGTGCAGATACTGGGATTTTACTGTGAAGGACTCAAAATAATTGCCTGGCTGGGTTTTTTGTTTTTGTTTGTTTGTTTGTTTGCTTCCCCTCTTTACAAAGGCTTGTATAGGCTGGGAAAAGTGGGACAGGCAGCGTCATTCGCTGAGCAAATGGGATGAAGGGACACCACAGAGAGTGTGGGTCCCCAGTGCAGGGCTGGGGGCTGAGGTAGGCCATGGAGGGATTTGTGTGGATCTGGTGGCACAGGGGGTTGAACAGGGTGGGGAGAAGGGGAGTGAGGTGGATGGGGAGAGACAGGAACCTCAGGGAGGGGGGTCGTTGAGGAAGGGCTCTGAGGGATGGTGATCCATCGGGACAGGGATGCTTTGAGGCTAGGAACTTGGGAATGGGGATTACAGGGACAGGGACCTTGGGGATAGTGAGCATTGGGTGTGAGGACTGTTTGAGGCACCGAGCCCTGGGGACAGGGACCTCAGAGCTGGGGATCTCTGAGGGCAGGGGTGCTTTGGGACAGGACTCCTTGGGGACAACAGTCCATTGGGACAGAGATGCTTTGAGGTGAGGATCCTTGGGGCAAGGAACTTGGGAATGGGGATTTCAGAACAGTCATCCTTGGCAACAGGGGATGAGGGCTGCTCAAGACAGAGACGTTTGGGGACAAGAATCCTCAGGGAGAGGGCACAAATACTGTTTGAGGTACAGACCCTTGGGGACAGGAGATGTGGGATCTTTGAGATATGGACCTTTGGGACAGGGATCTTCAAGAACAAGGATCCTTGGGGACAGGATGAGGGCTGTCTGATACAGACCCTCGGGGACAGGGACCCACAGGGACAAGGATCCTTGGGGACAGCATGAAAAAAGGGCTGCTTGAGAGAGAGAGAGAGACACCTGGGGCAGAGACCTTTGGGGACAAGGATCCTCAGGGAGAGGGGACGAGGGCTGAGATACAGCCTCTGGGGATGGGAACCTTCAAGGACAAGGATCCTCGGGGATGGGGGAATGAGTTCTGTCTGAGATACAGCCTCTCAGGGACAAGGACCTTTGGGAACAAGGATCTCTGGGGACAGAAGGTGACGAGGGCTGCTTGAGACAGAGACCTTTGGGGACCTCTGGGACTTTCTGGGAAAGAAACTATTTTTTGCTACTTTTTGTTTGTTTGGTTGGTTGGTTTTTCAGGTCTTTTTTTTTAGAATTTTATTATATATTTTATATACTTTTTTTGTGTTTTAAGTGCTCAAATAGTGGAACTAAAATTAGCCGCACAAGAAAAAAAAAATCAGAACAGGGCCAGGATATTATTTCTGTTGGCTCCCTTCAGATCAGCCTGACAAGGCACGGCCAGAGCTCTGCTTGAGATACAGACCCTCGGCGACAGGGTCCTACTGGGACAAGGATCCTCAGGGACAGCAGGGGACGAGGGTTGCTGGAGACAGACAGGGGCTCAGGGGATGAGTGCTGTCACAGACCCTGAGCACACGGACGCGGGGCGAGGAACGTCGGCGCTCAGCCGGGAGCAGCGCTGCGCTCGGGTCGGGGTCGCACCGCGCTTCGCGCTTCGCGCTCCCGTGTCCCTCGCGGCGCTCCGTCGGGCGGGTCACGTGGGCTCACCTGGCCCAGGTGGGGCGGGGCCGGCGCCGCTCCCTGCTCGCAGGTAACGCCGGGACCCCGCGCGTCCCCCGCAGCGGCACCGGGAGGAGGGGAGCGGCCGGCGGCTCCTGCCCTGCCCCGCTCTGCTTTGCCCTCCCAGCTCCGCCCGCCCCGGGGTTCGTCCCCTTTCTCCCCGTTCCACAGCCGGGCCCGACCCCCCGCCCAGGCCCCGCAGCCGCGTCCAGGCCTCCTCTTCCTCCTCCTCTTCCTCCTCCTCCGGTCCCATCGCGGGGTGCTGAGGATCCTCTGAGAGCGCTGGGAGCCCCAACCCTCGTTGTCTCGGTGCCGTCCTACGGGCAGCGGGGCTGCGCTCCTCACCGGCAGCTTGATGGGTGGGGGGCGTCAGTGGGGCGGGGGGCTCCTCCTGCAGGCTGTGCGTGGTTGGGGGGGGGCTGCGGTTCCTCCTGTCCGTCTGAGCCGAGTTTGCACCTCCGTGTCGGTATCAGCCCCGGCGCTGGGGTCCTGCTGCTAACGGGATGCTCTGATCCCCCCTCCCACCCCCCACCGGCATGGGTGTGGGCGAACCCGCGGGGCCAAAACCCCCATCTGGAGGATGCTCACAGCCTCGTTTATTTGCTTTGTTGAAACCTTTTTTAAAGGAACCTCTTTCTGCTGAACAATGACGATCTTAGACCCCGGCTAACTGGCACAGCTCACGGCTCCCACGCTGCTCCTCCCAGGCAGATGGTGGAGTCCTCTGTGAGGATCGGCTCCTTTCAAACCAGGCGCCTGTGTGAGAAGAGGGAAAGCTGCCAGCTGCCCTGTAAGTATCAGCTCTGCTGTGGATTCAAGTTATGTACAGCTGCGTTAAGCTGCTGTCAGTCCCTACGCCAAAGAAACCCATCGAGTCCATAGGCTGTGTGCTCAGCACGGTGTGCTGCCAGCACAGAGGGGGGTGCTGTGAGACAGAGGGGCTGAGTGCAGCACTTTGGGGCGGGAGGTGTTTGTGAGTGGAGGTGTCATCTCTGCACCGGGCCTGGGTTGTCCTTTTCTGGGCACCGAAGATGCTTTGACATGTCAGAATGTTGTGGGTCATTACGTAAGGGATGGCTGCAGTCTGGGTGTTGGATCTCGGGGGGGAGCTGGATATGAAGGGAAGCATCCCATTAAGCAGTGATTAGATCAGCTCAGATGGCTTTTGTTCAGTGCTAAATTCTGAGCTGAGTTCTGAAAACAGCAAAGCTGAGAACAGAGTAGGACTGCTGTTCTGAAGTGGAAGCAATGGAACTCGCTGTTCGTGCTCTGTCTGGAGAGCTCTGCCTGTTTGGCACTGGAATTGGGGTTTATATTAAATACGTTGTCCAGGAATGTGCAAAGGAACTCCAGAAACATGTGCTGCTTACAAATTGCTATAAGCTAATGGAGCCAAGAGGTTCCTGGAAAGCAGCGATGCGACACGACTGCCAGGGGAGTGTTTTCCCTGTGCTTCTTTCTAATGGTACTGCTGCTTTTTGTTTTCCTTTCTCTTTTATTAATTAAAAAAAAAAAAGGCAGTGATCTGACGAGGGCAGGTATCTGTGCTTGAGTTGCCCTATAGAAAGAATAAAGCAGGGACAGCCCAAAAGCACTTAAGCTGTGGCTGGGCTCTCGCTGTTTATTAATTGACCTAATTAGTATTTAGAAGGATCTCTTGGGGGTCCTGGGTGAGAAGCTCAGAAAGCAAGGGCAACTGAGGGGCCCAGCACAGCCTGGAATAAAAGCAGCAGCCATGAAAGCAGAGGGACAGCCTCGACCCAGCATCTCTCACTATGGTGTGTGGTGGCAACGAGAGCAGCTTGCTTTAGGATTCCTGCAGCACAGCTCTGTGGAAGCTTTGCTCCCATGAGATGTGATTTGAGAGAGGATCTTCAATCCAGATGCAGAGGTTGGCTTTTTCAGCAAAGTCCAGGACGTGACACGGCCATGACTGGCAAAATTCATCAGTGTTAGTAATGCCATCGTTGCTAAATCCTCTACATGTGAATGGTGGCAAATGATTTGGAGCATGAATTGACAGTTGCATAATTGATTACTTGTCATCTCCTCCTAGGCACAGTGTGTTTTGAAATGGGTGAGTGCTGTCAGGTAATCCCAGAGAATGCAAGGCAAAGGGGAAGCTGTTGAAAAGAGGATGCTTTGCCTTTGGAGCCTGGCTGCCAGCTCCACCTGTGCATTTATTGCTTGGAGGCAGCAGCTCTGTAGCAGCACGAGGTGAACCTCTTCTGAAGGCTACGGGGATTTTGGTGCCTTAAAGGGGCCCTTCTATAACACTTCTTTCCTGGTTTGAGCATTGAGTGAGAGCAAACGGTGTGGTTTGGTAGCTGGGGGACTCTGAACTGCACAGCGGCCTCCCCGTGTGTGCAGTGAGTGCACAGCGTGAGTCCTAGTGCCAAATGGTTCTCAGACTACACTGAATTTGAGATGGAGCCTCACTGAATTTGGATTTGGGTCCTTCTCGTGTTACTGGCAGCTTGCTAAGGCGGCAGATGCTTGGCTTGACTTGAAACCTCCTTGTCCTTCAGGTGCTTGAGCCATGCTGGGCCGAAAAGCAGGACCCCCCCACAACCTGAACAGCCACCGCCAGAAAAACCAGTCCTACCAGCAGGCCGTGCCCCCGAGGAGCCGACCATCCAAGGAGGCCGAGGTCGGGCTGGAGGTGTTGGGTGGTTTGACTCCTGAAATCAAACAGAGCCGCACCAGAGCCCAGCAGATGCGGGACAGGAAAGGTCGCAAAGCTGACCTCAAGGACTCTAATGGGAGAGAGGCAGAAACCATTACCTTCATCTCCGGCACGGCGGAGGCTCCTGCAAACCAGAGCTTCTGCTGTTCCTCTCTGTCTCATGCCTGGAAAACGTACAAAGCTGTTTTCTGTTGCATAGTGACCTGTGGGGGCTGCTTTCAGGACTGCAGTGTCTGCATCCCCTATCCAGGGCCTGCCGAGTCCTCCACCGACGATGGGAAGAATGGAGATTACAACGGGCAGCTGCCAAACAGCCCTGCCAACGTCTCTCCCACCGAGAAGAATGGGAACCAGATCAAAAAGTCCCACATGGGCAGCAGTTTCAGTTACCCAGATGTCAAACTGAAGGGCATTCCTGTCTATCAGAACAGGAGCCTGGGCCACCATCTGGAATCAGATTCGTGCTTCAAAGAGCTGCTGCCGGAGAAGCCCCTCAGGAACAGCATAGAAAAGCCTCCGCTCCCCAGCAGCCACCGGAGCTCAGAGGAGTATTATTCCTTCCACGAGTCTGACCTGGATATCAGCGAGCTGAACGGCTCCATGTCCAGCAGGGAGATCGACGTCCTGATCTTCAAGAAGCTGACAGAGCTCTTCAGCGTCCACCAGATCGACGAGCTGGCCAAGTGCACGTCAGACACTGTCTTCCTGGAGAAGACCAACAAGATCTCGGACCTCATCAATAGCATAACTCAGGACTACAACCTGGATGAGCAGGATGCTGAATGCAGGCTGGTCCGAGGCATCATCCGCATCAGCACTCGCAAAAGCAGGGTCCGGCCCCACATTTCTGTTCCAGCCAGCCAGAGCCATGAGGAAAAGTCCAGCAGAGGCAACGCGCCGGATAGTGGGAATGAAACAATGCTGGAGTCCACGGTCATCAGCCAGGACGGTGCGTGCAGGTTTCAGGTGTTACAGGGGCTGTTTCATCAGAGCTGTCAGATGTGCTGATGGAGTGGGGTTGAAAACTGATGGCTGTCTTCAGGGTGGGATCCAAGTTAAAGGAGGAAAGATTGAGGTTGGATGTTAGGGGGAAGTTCTTCACAAGGAGAGTGGTTAGGGCCTGGAACGGGCTGCCCAGGGAGGTTGTGGATGCCCCGTCCTTGGCCGTGTTCAAGGCCAGGTTGGACGGGGTCCTGGGCAACCTGATCTGAATGTGGATGTTTGGTGGCCCTGCTGGGCAGGGGGTTGGAACTACATGATCCTTGAGGTCCCTTCCAACCCGGGTGATTCTGTGATTCTGTGATTCTGTGGGCTGCTTTTCCTGGCGTCTGTCAATGGGGGTCTTTCTGTGTTACCAGAGAGTTCTGCTTGTCACCAGTCACTGCTTTCTTGATGCTATCTTTCACTGTCAGGGAAGTTTGCACTGAGCAATGGAAGGGTTCATTCTGCTGCTTCCTCTGCACCTCTATGCTAGGCAGAAAGACTGTGAGTCAAACTTAACTGGTAGGACCAGACAAGCTGGCTTGTGCCAGAGGATGTCCAGTTACCAAGCTGCCTCTCTACCCCGTGTTCTAGCACCGTTCTTGGCAATGCCACCCTTAAACCACCAAGACAGAGTGCCTCATTGGAGCTCAGCCTTCCTACAGGAGGGGTGAGGAGAAGCCAGCAAACAGCCCTGCAAAGAGGGGGGAAGGGCTTTTGCCACAGTGTGAGTGTGCACACTTATTCCAAGGACACTGTCCTTGTCTGGAGCAGCCTGAATTGAGTGACCTCTAAAACAGGCGGGAGGAGCGTTGTAGAAAGACCTGGAAAAGCTGAGCGTGGGGTCAGGAGACATCCAGAAGTCACAGAGGAAACTGGGTGGCTGTCATGCTTCCCAGCTCAGCACCGAGGCTGCTGTTGCTTCCTGGTATTTATAGCTCCCATTACTGGGACAATGATGGAAGCAATCTGAAGAATAAGACGCTGCCTCTGCTGCTAGCTGAGGGTGGTGCCTTGTGAAGGAGAGCCTCTGCATTCCCTGACGGGTGTCTTTACTCTTGAGTCATAGCTGCCCGTCCTTTCCTGGCTTCTTCCTGACCTTCTTGGTTTTTCTTGCAGATTTGGCCGTGCAAATATCAGAGGAAACACCAGCAGATGTGCTGGCCAGGAACATGAGGCGGCACAGCAGCGCAGGTAACGTGCCTGGCCAGAGGTCTTTGCAGTGGGTGAGCTGCAGGAAGGGGGGGTTTGGCAGGAGGGAGCAGAGCACCCTGAGCTCCTCACACCGGTGTGCCTTCAGTTTTCACCCTTTGCTGAGGTGATGGCTGCCTCTTAGGGTGCTGTAAGGTGTTTCCTTCTCTCAGGAGTGAAGGGGGGCTCAGAAGGCTGCGAGCTGCCCGGGTTTGGTGGCTCCTCCTGAAAGAGAAGGGAACCCACTGCAGAGCTGTGCCTGTGCTCAGCATTTGTCCCAAGAGCTTCCAGTCTGCAGGTATCTTGACAAAGTCTGGGGCTCTGCCTGGGGCGTGAGCAGCTGAGGTCGGATCGCATGGGAACCGTGCAAAGGGAAGCAGAGGAGAGCAGCTGCCTGTCCCCTGAGCTCTGATCCTCGTGGCATGCATGCTACACTCCAAAGAGCTGCCCAGGGCTAAAAGACAAGTTTTCTCCTGCATAATAACAGATCTCTCCTAGAAGATGGCCACAATGCAGGCAGGGTTGTTCCCTGCCCGTGGGCTTTGTGTGGCTTTCTCCTCCCTCATGATACACAATGCCTTTTGTGGCAGCTGCTTGCCTAACTGCCTGGCACTTGGCTGCTGTAGTCCATCATATCTAATGTCACCGTCTCTTCTTTTTTCCTCTCCAAGGCTCTCCAACAAGCAGAGATTCCTCTTTCCAAGACACAGAGACTGACTCATCTGGAGCACCTCTGCTTCAGGTGTATTGTTAAGAAAAGGGACCCAAACAGCAGGCAGGCATTGCAAGGCTTTGCTGCAGATTTCTCTTTCCATATGGAGCATATTATGTCACTTTTTCCCCCCAGTCTACTCACATCCTTTGTTGAAGCCAAAGTTCTCCTACTGTCTGAGTTTCACTGGGAATTTTTTTTTTCTTTGGACAATATAGAACATTAAGGAAGTGAACTGTGGAGCTAATGCACTTGGGAGGTGGAATGTGTGCCCAGGGAGGAGAAATGGACAAGGAAGTGCTCGATGATTTTATTTCCAGTCTTCACGTTCCAGCAATCTCAGTGACCCAGCTCCTTCCCTGCTTTGAGAATGTGCTGTACATTTCTTGCTTGCTGGCATTGCAGAAGTTAACCTGGGGAGGGGGTGTCAGGGGGTGTCTGTGTTAGTGACAGTGCTGAGGCAAAGGCCAGGCACCCGCTCTCTAAGGACCCAGATCTCTGTGTAAAGAGCCTGGGTTGGTGGTCCCAGAAACACAAGTCCTCTGCCCGTGGCGTTGCAGATCTGCCTTCTTCCTGCTGCCCTTAGTGTCGTTTCCCATTGCCCTGTAAGGAGAAGGTTCAGCTGATGTGGTTTGTTTCAACTTTGGCCTCTTGGCCCCTCTCCCAAGATAGTGCCAGCTGCAGGGAGGCAATGCTTGAGCTGCTGCCCTCCTCATCCTCCCCAGCTACTCCCGGTCTGATCTGAGCTGCACACATTGACCTGTGGCTTGCGTGCCAGCCCGCTCTCCTCTCTCACTCAACACCAAGCCCTGTGCATTTCCCCATCGTGCTTGTTGTCTGGCTGGCTGCTGGGGCAGCCCTGGAACGTGGGTTATATGAGGTATGTGAGACAATTCCTTCATTTTTAGTTCTTATTTTTTCTGATAAAGACTTGGACTGTTTGCTCTGCCAGAAAATCCCATCAAAGTGTCCTAACTTGAATGAAAGCTTCCCTCAGAGAGCATCTGCACAGGACCTGGGAGAAGCCGCTCACACAGCCCTGTGAGCGCTCAGCACCTTCTCTGACTTCTGCTCTTCTTTCACAGCCACGTACAGCTGTGGCATTGCTACCCCAAGGGCACAGAGCCAGATGACCTTGAGGGCTGCAGCAGGAGGAAGCTGTACCTTGCTGGTGTTGCCACTTGTTTTTTTATCAGAAAGCAAACATGCGAGGCCATGGGACTTGTTTATACTTCAGGTGCCCTTGGACATGACTAGAAAATGTTGGGTTGGATTTCCCATCAACGCAATCAACACACCCACTGGTTTCTGAGGAGGGGGAAACCAAAGTCGGTCCCATGCTTTGGTGCAGATTGTGTTTGTGTGCCTTAATTGAACTGAAACGTGCCTTAATTGAACTGAAACGTGCCTTAATTGAACTGAAATGTGCCTTGAGTTCATAGCCCATGATTACTCTCCCAAAGGTTGGGTAGGGGGAAGAGGATTAAATTCTTGACGTAAGCAGTCAAACTTATTTAAGTGGCCAAAGTCCTTTGAAATGTGCAGCCCAAGTCCCTGTCAGAGCCTGTTTTTGTAAGCTGCTCACATTTCCCAGCGTGATTTCATGAATCATGGACATCACTGAGACCACACCTTGAGCCACTGACTGAGATATTGGCAATAAAGGGGTCTGAGCCATTGGTTTGGCGTGCCCTCCTGGTGTTGTCATCAGCACTGGCTGTGAAAAACCCTCTCTGTGCAAGGAAGAGACATGAAGCAAGGGCAGCGCGGGGCCCGGATCGGCTGCTTGGTGACCTTCAGAATGCCACATGGACCCACTCTGCTTCCTGCTCCTGAGTGGGTTTGCCCATACCTCTGCAATGAGTTTCCTCACACCTGTACAGCACTGTGGCTCATGCAGCTCTGTGTGCTTTGCGGTGGAGATGAGGGGTGAGAATGAACTTGCAAAGAGCTGCCAGCTGCTACTACAGGTGCAATGGCACTTCTTTATGTTTAGTCTGCATACTGTGAGCCAATGCCTATGGATCAAGCTTGCAAAACACACCCAAAAGCCGAGTCATCTGCTGGACCCTGCAGCTGGTGCACCTGTGGTGTCTTATGGCATTCATCTCCCTTCCTCACCCTTAACATCTGATTCAGTCTATTTTTTTTTAATATAAAGCAGGAGATGTGCTCTTTACCTGTGCTGTCTTTTGTGTTCTTGTGTTATGAGGGAGCCTGGGCTGAGAAGGAAGGCTGTTCTGCCTTCCCAGCAGTGCGTGCACAGCGGTGGTTGTGTGTGTGTGTGGGGGGGGTTGTTCTGAGGGCTGAATGCAGGGCTGGTGTGCAGGGCACAGGGAAGGAGGGTGCAGGTGGAGAACCCTCTGTGGAAACACAGGCTTTCCCCAAGGCTGAAGCTGGAACTGAGCTCTGGGAGAACTCAGCCTGAGGGGAGAATTTCCAAGGGCGTGAATGCTTCTTGCTAGAAAGTGCCACGAGTGCCAGCTGTGCTTTGTTACGCGAGGATTGCAGTTCAACCTGACCACCCTTGGCCAGCAGGCAGCGTCTCGTGCAAGAGATGCGTTCCTTGGGATGGTTTTAAGCCCATGAGTGGGCACTGCTGCCTTCTCTCAGCTGGAAACGGGCTGCCGCAGCGAGCTGCTGTGCCTGCAGCGCTCAGAACGGCCTATTGCTGCCCCACGGCAATGCAGCCAAGGCTCCCTGCAGCGCCGCGCTGGGCCGTGGCTGTCACTGCTGTCCCTGCCATCCCCACCTGCTCCTGAGCTGCCCTGATAGTTCCTCCTGCAAGTCCAGGCTGTGTTTCTTTGCCCTCCGAATGCCCTTTCTGTGAGTTCCTGCAGCGCTCTTCCTGGAAGAGATCAGTCTTCCTCCTGCGTGAATCTGGGCATTGGATGGCGCAGGGTGGCTGTGCCTGATGTGCATCCCAGCTCCTGCTTCCCCTGAGGATCCAGGGAGGACGCTGTGCTTCTGTCTGCTGGGTGCACCGTATGCACAACGCAGGATCTCATCCCCAACCAGCAGCATTGTTCCAGATCAGTGCTGTCAGACCACTGTCATTTCTGGACAGATTTTATACCTTTGCATATAGAACAATGTACACACAGCTTCTGCATCCCTGCCGTGAGCTCTGTGCTCAGTAACCTGCTTTGCAGCATGAGTTTGCTGCATCGATCTGGGTTCGCTCACAGCTGCACAGGGAACCGCTGCTATTTTCTGTCTGCTGAAGGTCGTGTTTGCCGTTGATCAAACCATCACAGTTGTTCATGGAATGGTTTTTTGTTGGTTTTTTTTCTTTGCTTGGGGCAAAACGGAGCGACCTGAAGCAGTGGGGATGGCAGCCTTTCACCCCAATGAAGGTGCATGGGCACTTCCTGCTGGGAGCGTGACTCAGCACCGCTGTTCTCCTGAAGGCCGTGATGTTGTTGGGCTCAGCTGTGCAAGGAAAGTCCACAGGCGCTGCTGTGCGTGTCCTGGTGCTGCAGGAAGCTGTGCCCCCCCCGTACAGCAGGGATGGGATTTCGGCACAGCTTACAGCTTGGAAAGCAGACAATCTTCAGCCCAACTTTACAGCCTGGTCCTTCGTGGCGGAGGAGTGGTGGCTTTCCCTCAAAGCAAGCAGTGATGAGACAGATCTGCTGCCTCTTTTCCTTCCTTGGGGTTCCCAAAGCAGCCTGTTCCTGAGCAATCTGAGCAGCAATCATCATTAAAAAGAACTGCAGCAAGAGCTGTTGTGGGGAAAAAAAAGACCAGGAGACACTTTGGGCACAGGAAAGCCCGTGTGGTCTAGCATTTTGCTTTTAAAAGATGGGAGGAGGAGGCTTTGGCTCTTTTTTGGGATCAGGACACCCTGCTGGATCCCACAGCATTGCTGGAGCAGGCCCAACGTCAGACCTTCTGCCCCACTAAAAGCCAAGGGTGCAGGGTGCAAGCTGTGCCCCCCCCCAGCCTGGCTGTTGCTTCTTGGGGGCTTTCCCCAAAGCAGAGCAGAGCCTCAGCTGCAGCTCCGGTGGGTGGCAGCACTGACACGGCTTCTGCAGGTGTGACACACGGGTGTGACATGCCAGGGGGCCTTGGGTGGCCGCCAGCCCCGAGCACAGCTCCTCCAGGAGGTGGGCATTTGCTGGGAATGAGGAGAAAGAACTATTTGCTGGGTTTGGTCCCTGATGTCCCGTGTCACAGTTATTTTCCTGCATCGGTCACAGCTGGGAGCTGCAGTCTGCATTAACTGCTCACTGAGGTTTGTGCTCTTTAAGCCACTTCTGCTGCCAGACCAGAGCTGTCCTGCCTGGCAGTTGACTCCAAAGGAAAACACTTTTGGGAGCCAAAGGGTGTCGGGTTCAGCTCAGCCAGTGTGGCTGCTGGGTGCCATGCAGGGGACAAGGCCAGCAGGAGAAACACCTTCTGTTCCGCTGGCCACAAGGGTTGAAGTCCAGGGGCAGTTCACAAACAGTGCAGGACATTCACCTGCCAGCAGTTCAGAGCAGAGCTGGGGCTGCTTCTCCCAGGGCCGTTTGCATTTCCTTTCTGTGTCCAAAAGAAAGGCAAATGGCATTGCTTCCCTCTCTCCCCACTGCCCAGGTCCCAAATTCCCCGACAGCTTATTCTGCTGCTACCTGCTGTTCTTGGTGCTATTTGCTCTTAGCTGCTCCCCTGCTTGCCTCCTTGCCCTGACCCTGAGCAGTACCAGCCCCAGCTGGAGCACTCAGGAGTTCCCCAGTTGTGGTTATACCAGCCACTGCTTCAGGCTCACACCAGCAGAGACCCTGCAAGAGGCTGAGACGCTGGGTTTGGTAACAAAACGGAGCCCCACGTGGTGCCAGCAACCCATCAGGGTGCACTGGGAGCACCAGGTGTGGGTTAGCGGGGTGAGGAGGTTTGGGGGAAGTAAGGAGGGTTGGGCTCAGCGGTGGTTATGAGCAGTGCCCAGGGCCTGCCTGTGCTTGCTCTGCAGGAGGGGCCGGCTGCAGGTAGGGAGCCCAACCTCACCTGCTCACCCTCAGCTCTGGGAACGGCCTCACTGCTTTGCCATGGAACACAGGGAGAGCTCACTGCACCTCCAGAACAGCAGCTCAGCTCCCAAGCTCCCCTGTATTTCAGAGCAGGGTACGCTCACAGTACAGGACACAATGCCCTCTGCTGTGTCCCACTGCCACCAGAAGGAAACGAGCCCAGGGTCAGCTGCAGAGCAGCCTCGAAGGACCCGGAGCAGAGCAGACACATCCCAGCAGGTGGTGAGGAGGGCGGGCTGGAGGCAGCTGCCCCGGGTTCTTGCTTTCCCACAAGGTCACTGCTGAACTGGGTGGGTGCCGCTTTTTGAACTCGAGGGCCTATAAAACTGGGAGAATGAATGCACACAGTGTCCTGTTCTTCAAAAAAAGAAAACCTGGTAAGGCAGGCGCAAGGCCAGGCCGGACTTTGCCCAAGCAGGGATTTTCTGCTGTTTGCGCCCACTCCCTCTGGCAGAAGGCAGAAATACTTTGTAGTGGCAGAACCCCAGCAGCAGGATTTTGGGGTAGCCTCTAAAGGGCAGGCAGGAATAGCAGCTTTTGTCATAATTCCCTCGCATGCTTGTCATAAAGCAGACCTGGGGCAAGGGTGGCTGTCTCAGTGCAGTCACGCGCTGCTACGTAGGGAATGGGGAGCCTGAAGCAATGAGCCTTGGTCAGCACTGCTGAGCAAGGCACGGCTCCAGCTTGAGCTCTCTTGAGCTGGGGAGCAAAAGTGAGGAGCGAGGATCCTGAAGACGCAAGCAGCTGCAGAGCAGAAGCCCCAGCCCTCAGCAGGCAGCCACCTCTCCCTGGGCAACTTCGTGCCCCCTCCCAGCTCGTACTTGAACTGCACAGCCCCTCCAAAGCCCTTCTGCAGGAGGAACCACACGCTCTACCCACAGATTTGACACTTTTTTCCTTTATGTTGCACTGCAGCTTTAACGAAGATATGAACCATGCAGAAAAACGCCGCTCGTCAGCAGGAGCTCAGAAGAGAACACAGCAATGCCTGTCAGCAGCGGCAGGGAGAGAGGCTCTCGGCAGAGAGGCAGGTGAACTCTCAGTAACAACATTACCCCAAAGACCCCCACACCCTCCCCTGGCCCACAGTCACAGACCCCACAGCCTTCCCTTGCCCTAGAGCAGCACGTCACCTTTCCAGCTGGAATGAGAGCCCTTCCTTGGGGTCAAGTTTGTCCCACTTCTGGCAACAGAAGCAGCAGGATGGAAGGCACCTGAGTGCAGGTCAGCCACTAAACCCTCTGCTCAGATGTGATTGAACCTAGAGTCCATTACAGGTGAGAAGAAAGGAACCAGTTTTATCCTTCCCCATTCAGTTTTTGAGTGGCAGCACAATGCTATCTGCTACCTTGAACTGATGGGTTACAGCAATGACAAGGAACGTTCTTTCTCTACTGCAAAGACTATATTTTGTTGTTTTTTTTTTTTAAAGACTGCTGTTTTCCCTGCTCAGGGAGGCAGAAACGTAAGTATTTCCTAAGATAAACTGGCCCTTGTTTTCACAGAAGAGCAGGAATGCCAGAGCAGGGAGGGAGTAAAAACTCAGGAGCACCTGCAGCCAGAACTGAAATGGCAAAGCAGAGGTGAACAGCTCCAAAGAGCCAGGAGATTAAGCTAAGCAATGCATTAAGGATATGTCCCCAGATCTCTCAAGTCTGGCTCTTGAAACCTCAATGCCCTTTTTGCTCCAGCCCCTCCTTCTCTCCTAACTGCTGCTTGGGAATTGCCACAGATGGCTCTGACTGGCGTTGCTGCAGACTGGTTCTGTGGTCTGACATTCTGCTCAACACAGGACAACTGAGGACGACTTCATGGAGCTGCCTTCACAGCAAGCTCAGCTGGGGATGCTGCAAGTGCTTACTTGCCCAAGGTAAGGGATCCCTACTTATCCAGCAATACGTTTCCTGTCCCATTCAATGGGCTGCCTGAAAGAGCGGGGAGGAGGATCGGAATCAGTTGAATTTAGCCTTTGAAAAGTCCATTTCTGGATGCTGTTCCATGAACCTGCAACGAACACAAAGACAACAGCTAAGTTGTAAGTGAGCAGAAGACACAGAGCTCTCCCCAGGGACGCGCAGCGAGTACCTGCGAGGCTCAGCGCTCCTCCACTCCATTTCAGCTCATTCATTCAGCCTCTCCACATCCCACCTTTCAGGTGCAAGGCAGCCCT